AGATTAAAGCCGTGAAGAGTAGGAATTCAAGGCCATCCTTGGCCACATAGTGAGTTGGAGGCCAGCCTGGGCTGCAGAATACTCGGTCTCAAAAGGAGGGACATACAAATGAACAGGCACACCCACTCCGGATTTCATACAGACACTTCAGATCTGAAAGGCCTCCAGCCCAATCCCCAATTCCTTTACTTCACCTCAAACTCCTCCCACGTACCTTCCTTTCTTCTGAAGTCTTTCTTTCTGATAATGACAAAGCCACCTACCTAGTCACCATCACCGAGTTGTCATCTCTTTTTTTCTTTTCTTCCTTCATCTTATCCAGGCAATTGTTAAACCTTGTAAATCCAACAAACTAAACAGCCTTCAAATCTTCCTTTCCTTCTTAGTTTTGTTAATTTTATGTCTGTAAGTATTTTGCCTTCACGAATATATAAGGACACTTGTGTGCCAGGTATCTGGGGATGTCAGAGGAGGGCATCAAATCCCCTGGAACTGAAGTTATGAGTGGTTGTGAGGTAGTGGGAATAAACTTGAGTCTTCTACAAGAACAGCAAGTGCTCTTAATTACTAAGCCATTTCTCCAGCCCACTCTTTTTCAAAATAATTTCATATGCATAGGTGTTTTGCCTGCATGTATTTATGCATTATATACATGCAGTGCCATTGGGGTTCGATCCCCTGGAATTGGAGCTACAGGCAGTGTGAGCTGCTGTGTTGGTGCTGGGAATTGACTATGGGTCCTCTGGAAGAACAGTCATCTTTCCAACCCCACAACCTTTTGCCTTTCTGAATCAAACAGAAATCAGCTCTTGTCTAAATGGAACTTTGTAGCCTCCCCCACACATTTGGCACTTGTTGCTAAAGCACAGGTGTTATCTATACCACCCTCACACACAGATCTGCAACTTTTCTACTGGATATGGAATAACACAAACCCTCCTAGGCACGGCATTCTAGACCATTCATTATTTATTTGACTGTCCTGCCTTTATGGCTTTGCCTCTTACTGCCTCACCCAATGTGTCTTTTGCTCTAGCCACTGTTCCCAGCATGCCTTGCTGGTTCCTCTCCTCGGAGTGCTTTTCTCCATCTTAGTTTATTTGAGAATTATTTTTATTACTATTAAAAACAAAACTAAGGCTGTGGTATAGTTTAATGATACAGCATTTGCCCAGAATTGACAAAGCTCTGGGTTCAATCCCCACAGCACATGTGCATACACACACACACACACACACACACACACACACACACACACACACAGAGAGAGAGAGAGAGAGAGAGAGAGAGAGAGAGAGAGAGAGATGGCTTGTTATATATTGTACATGTAAGTCATCTCATTTGATTTTCATAAAAACAAAATAACTTGCTCAAGATGAAGAAATCTAAACAATGATTGATGGAGGATAGGAACTCAGTACTGACATCAAAACCAATAGGCTAACAACAGTATAGGGGTTTTCTCTGACTCTTCATAAATGCTTTTTTGTTAGTGTTCCAGAGCAAGTTAATGACATTGATACAATGTTTTAACAGAGGGCAAATACCCAGATTTTTGTAGCCATATTTCTAGAGCTTGTCTCTTGAGTGACCTTGACCTCAACGTCCTCATCTTTGAAATGGAAATAGTAGGTACTATGGATATTGTAAACTACCAGGGTTGTTGTAAAGTACATGTTATAGCTTTGCCCTGATAACACATTCTTGCCATTTGTTACATCTGTGCTGGTCCCTCAGTATCTTCTGCCTCTGAGAGAGAGAGAGATCTTCCTCAATTCATCTTCCAATCCTCTTGTGACCACAAAACAGAATTTTCCTTAGCTTGTGTGCTGCATAAATGACTGTCACATTAAGTTTATAAATGTGTAGGTGTTGTGCCAGACAATGAGACATTTATAAGTACATGATGATGATCATGCTGTTTTAATTATCTACAAATCTTTTGAAGAAAGTGGTTATTGAATAAGGCCTGCTATCTGCTATCTTCTGTCCTGTTTTTAAAAATCCAGATTATTACCATAAACTACTGTGAACAGGAAGCCAGTTTCTTTCTTTTTTTTTTTTTTTAACCTTTTTAAGCTTTTCCCAAGTTTGCTTATTTGTGAGCCAATGCTTTTGTGGGAGGTGGAGTAGGAAAGGGACACCTGTACAAGCTCCTAGAGTTCTGGAACAGAGGGTGGTATTCAGTGATGGGTAACTACAAAGCCAGCCCTCAACCCTGCTATTCCCCTTCACTGAGCAGTGAGTGACCTGGTCTGTAGCTTTGGGTTTCATGACAGGCCAAGTTGTATTTGAAAAGAAGAAAGCTCCTACCCTTTTCAGAGCCCAGAAGTACACTGTGGAGGCCTAAGGATGCCAGGGAGGGCACTGACTCAAGTTACATAGCACTATTTGGCTGACACTTGTTTATTATGTAAATCAAGTTATATATTATTATTTCATTTACACTTATGTTTCAGCCACTCTTCCTAGTTAAAGCTGCTCTGCCAGGGTGAGGGGCAGTCAAAGAAGAGTGAACATGATAGAAAAGGAACATGATTAGAGGTTAATGTGTCCCCTGGGCTCCTTTGATTTGGGTGATTGCAAAAATGCACAATGTAGTAATTAAGCATTCCTGGGGGAAGAGGGTCTCTGTTGGGGCTTTATTTCTGATGAGTTACAGCTGTTGTGCATGAAGCATTGTAAGTGGGACATGGAGAAGTGTTCACAGAACCAGAATGACAGTGTGTTGTGTAGCAGTTTACATTTGGTGGAAGTTTCATTAAGATGCAGAATGTCAATAGAAAAGAAGAAACTTTCCATCCTGCTGTCTTAACTGAAGTCCCATTATCTCCAGAAGTAAACACGCAGTGGCTTCAGGAAGTCCCTGAAATTGGCCAGATTCACTAGACCCCTCCCTCCCTAAGCACATAAGCCATAAAGACTGCTGAGAGATGCTCAGGCTCAGACCAGCTGAGCTGCCTCAAACCATCTGAACTGACTGAAAGACAAACACTGCCAACCTGACAAACACTGTTGCATTGCCTTCAAGTTGTATGGTGTTCTCCAGTTTTCCAGTTTATGAACCATCACCCATACTGGGTGGACTTTTGGCAATGCAGCTGTTGTTTTTGAGTTATTTCTGCTACTGCAAGTAACCCCTCACCTATATTCCTATAACCTCAATAAAATTCATTAGTTCACCAAGTTGGGCATTGGTGGTGTCCTTGCTTTGGTCTGTCATTGGTTTCATATCTGGGGTGAGCAGATGTTTATTCATGTCTCTGTAGGGATAATGTCACTCAACACTGCTTGTTACCATGGCAAAAGATGAGTTCAATTTGGAGCCAGCCTACAATCCTGTCTCTGGGTGGGTAGGAACTGTCCCATTTCACTCCTAAAGGCATTTGCATCCATTTCCTCCCCCCACCTTCCACCAGCCCTGCCCTTGTTCAAGGCCCCCCCCCCCCATCTTCTTGGAGTATGTGCGTCTTGTCGGTCTCTCAGCCTCATGTTTAAGAGTGTCTATTCCACTCTAGTCACCAGCAGAGGGGGAGTTTTCTAAATTAGCTTCAAACCCATCCTTGGCTCTCTATGGATTTCTGTCCAGGTTTGCAGAGCCCTTCTATTTGGCCCTATGTATCTTGTTTCCTGTAACCTCTACATCTGCGATCCCCTTCACTAGTAACCTGGACCTACAAACAATTGAAGAACACATAGTCTCTGCTCTCAAAATTTGCAGCCTTCTGTTCTTGCTCCTCCTTTTACCCAGAATTCTTCACTTCTTTCTTGGCTTCTTCTCTGTCTTCCTGTTTTCTTCCTACTCAAGGCTGAATGAGTTTTTCCTCAGGAATGCCTCCACAGATGTACTGCATCATTCACTACAAACTGCACTGAACCTCTAACCAGGCAGAGCTATGCATTGCTTCCCAGCATCCAGCTTTGACACACATTACTCAACAAATATTTGGTAATCATTGAATTCTCCTGGTCCTGTGCAGAGTCAATTATAGTTCAGAAATGAGATCTTGAATATCAGCACTGAAAGCAATGGATAATAATAATGAGTTTTGCAATTACGTTGTTAGATGGGTTAGAATTGCACACTTGATACCAGGATTGCCAGATTTCAAATTTCTTCAAGATAAAGTGATTAAAGCCTATTTGGAAGGTTAGGTTTTCTGGACTTATCCAAACACCAGATTGGGGAATTATGTTTGCTGAGCAGTTATTTCTAGAAATGCTAAATCTGTCTCTTAAAAACAGCATTCTAAAACTATAGTGATAGCTGTACAGAGGTGCTCTGGATACTCCTACTCAAAAGAAGTGTAAGAGGAGGGAAGGATTACCATACGATGGTACCTTCCCAAAGAAGGCAGACATAAGCACACACAGAAGACCAGTTTCAGTCCAACGCTTTCCAGTGTCCAATGAAACAGACCGCATTAACACAGAGGGAGCCTATTACAGTTTCCACACGGCAAATCAGAAATAGAATGGATTGCTTTATGAAGTGCACCAGGTGTCTCCTTTCAACTGCAGGCAGGCAGGTGGGCTCAAGCCCAGGCAGCAGAGGAAAAACGGTGCAATGGAGATGGGACTAAAGGGGGCCTTTCATTCTTACTGATTTTTCTCAGGAGTCCTTTGAATTTTTGGAACCGTTTAATTCTTTCGATTATCGGCTCTAAAGCGTTAGAGCTACCTGAGAAACAAAGAAGGGGGCGAGTAAAAGCTCTCAGAGATAAGTGAGTAAGAATTTCAGGAGAGATGCCATAAAGAAGAGACTGAGCGAAAAGAGAAGACCGAGAGCAGATGTAGAAGAGGAAATAAGGAGGCGGGGAAGGCAGAGAAGAGAACCTCAGTGAAAGAAGGGAAAGTGACTAAAGGTACTGGAAAGGAGAAGGCACTCCCAGAGGGAAATGGATAGCTTTAAGGAAAGCCCCGCCCCTAGCGTGACGCAAAGACATTCTGGAGCACGATTGGCTGGGGTCGGAGGGCGGGATGGGGTTGCTAGGCACGGAGGGGATCCGGCGGGCCGCCGCCGCCCCGGGTGCGGAGCCGCTGGAGCGGAGCGGTGTTAGCGGCGCTGCTGGAAGATGGCGAGCGGCCGGGATGAGCGGCCGCCCTGGCGGCTGGGACGCCTGAGGCTGCTGCCGTCGCCACCGCTGCTGCTGCTGCTGCTACTGAGGAGTTCGGCCCAGGCCGCGCACATCAAGAAGGCTGAGGCGACCACAACGACCGTCGCCGGCTCCGAGGCGGCCGAGGGCCAGTTCGACCACTACTACCACGAAGCGGCGCTGGGCGAGGCGCTGGAGGCGGCGGCCGCCGCGGGGCCGCCCGGCCTGGCGCGTCTCTTCAGCATCGGCCGCTCGGTGGAGGGCCGGCCTCTGTGGGTGCTGCGCCTCACGGCCGGCCTGGGGCCGCCGCCCACCGCCGCGGCGGGGATGGACGCCGCGGGGCCGCTGCTGCCCGGCCGGCCGCAGGTGAAGCTGGTGGGCAACATGCACGGCGACGAGACGGTGTCGCGCCAGGTGCTGGTCTACCTGGCCCGTGAGCTGGCGTCGGGCTACCGCCGTGGGGACCCGCGCCTGGTCCGCCTGCTCAACACCACCGACGTGTATTTGCTGCCCAGCCTGAACCCCGACGGCTTCGAGCGCTCCCGCGAGGGTGACTGCGGCCTCGGCGACAGCGGCCCGCCCGGGACCAGCGGCCGCTACAACAGCCGTGGCCGCGACCTCAACCGCAGCTTCCCTGACCAGTTCAGCACCGGCAAGCCCCCTTCGCTGGATGAGGTGCCAGAGGTGCGCGCCCTAATCGACTGGATCCGCAAGAACAAGTGAGTGTTGCCTGACGCTGCTCTCGCACCCGAATGAGTCTTCAAGGGCAGGAGGCTGATTCTGACACCCACTAGGCGCTCAAACAATGCTTGCCAGCCTAAAGGTGGGGGGGGCGTCAGGGTGAAGAGCGACACCCTGTAACTGGAACGAAGGCCCAGTTGCAGGGCATCCTAGTCTTGCTAATTGTAAAGAAGCCTGCCTGGGGCTGTCATTTGTCCAGGACATGGCCCGAAGGGAGACTTTCTGTCATTCTGTCACTGTTTTTAAAGGACCATCGTATATCAGCGCTGGGTAAGATTTTAAGAAATCTTAAGTTAGCACCTTCATTGTGTAGCTAAGTTGTCAGTGTCATCACTAGAAATACTGTGGCAGGCACTTTCTGTGACTGCATTATATCATTTGCTGTCGACCACAGCTGGGCACCTAGACACCACTCACACTCCTGTTTTGCATAAGGGGAAATTGAGGGACAAACTGGTTAACTAGACTCTGGCTGTCTCAGTTAGTTACTCTGCTCCGCAGCCAGGGAGACAGATTGTGGTTCAGAAATAGCAAATGACACCCCCAGTACTTCCTCTGATATTGGACAGAGGACAGTTTTCCTGCCTTTACTTCTGATTCTGCTTAGGGGAGAGAGGAATAAGGGGAAATAATCCCCGCGGGTCAGAACTGCTTGTTTCTGATGCCAGTTATGCACAACTGATCGTTTACATTGATAGCATTTAAACATTGAATGGGGCTTAAAAACCTAAGACCTGGAAGAACCTTCAGAAATCAGTATATCACAAGAGCATGTTATAAATATACTTATGAGGGGTTTACTCAGAACAACAACAACAAAAAAACTAAAAACCAAAAGAAACAAAAACAAAACAAAAACCCACCCAACTGTACAGAAACTGTCCCTCTGACAAATGTGCATGAGCTGCAATCGTAAGGGAAAGGTAGGATATGAGGATATGGTCTGAGTCTAGGATGAGTAAGAATAGGAAAGAGGAATAAAGGGAGAAGGTACTTACTCCATGGAATCCAGTCTGAAGTGGAGTGTGCCTTTCTGAAGCAACAGCTTTGCCAGCATATTCCCATGCTGTGTCTTCCTAAGGTTTTTCAAGGCAGTAGTGACAACCTTCCTGTCTTGAGTTGAAGATGAAGCAAAGATAAAAATGAACAAAGAAATTTCTCTGTGGGACTTGGAATCCTTTCTTATGTAGCCCAGGCTGGCCATGGACTGGATATGTAGCCAAGTATGACTTGAGCTCCTGATGCTCCTGTTTCTGCTGTAGCTAGGATTACAGGCTCGTGCCACCACCTGTGGTTTACATCTTGCCTGTGGTTGAACCCAAGGCTTCATTCATGCCAGCAAGCTCTGCACCAACTGAGCTACATACGACCCTCCTGAAATACTGTGTTGTAAGATTTCAGTCATATGTTATGAGGTCTAGAAAATTTGTGGATATTTCAATGGTTCCAAATGTTTAAATCATCCACCTTCCACTTTACTAATATTTAGAAGGTCTCTTGTAGATACTTAACTTGTTTAAATGTTCTAGGATGATTGCCTTTCCTTGACCATGTCAGACCTCTGAATATCTATATAAATTTGATTTTGATATAACACTTTTCATATGCTATAGTGAGCAGGGCTTTTTGTTATTTTTCGTTATTGTTTTGAGACAGGGTCTCACTATATAGCTTTGCCTTTGGTATAAGTTACCTTGAGGCTATACTGAAAGTCTCATGCCAAATATTCATTCTTTGCTAAATTCTTCCAAATTAGTAGTAGCTGATGATCATGAGTTATGTCATGGTATTGTTAATTTATTGATAGGAGCTTGTGAGGTTTTTAAAAGCTCACAGAATCAGTTGGCATTACAGTCATTTTATCTTATAGCAGTGGTTTGATTACTCTAAGCAATCCCAAATTTTTGTTTTGTTTTGTTTTTGATGTAACTATAATTAAAATGGAAAATTCATTCACAGTCTCAGTTTTAAAAATTAACTCAAAATACATATTTATTAATGATTAATCAATAAGAGGATATTGATATGTAAGTAAAATAACACAATTAGAGATTGATGGATGGGAGGGATATTAAAAAGAAAAACACAGACATTGGTCAATATGAGAAACTACTTTTTTTTTTATTTTTTTCAAGACAGGGTTTCTCTGTGTAGCCCTGGCTGTCCTGAAAGTCACTCTATAGACCAGGCTGGTCTTGAACTCACAAAGATCTGCCTGCTTCTACCTCTTGAGTGCTGGGGTTAAAGGCATGCACCACCACTTCCTGCCAAGATTCTTATTTTTAATACCATATATTTAGCAAATTTTAAAAATCTTATGATACTGAAGCCAAGTAAGAAAAACACTTGATGACTGAATGAAAATCTTAAACTATCTTTTAAATAGGATAGGAACTGATACACAAAGCTGCCTTGACAAAGATACTAAGGAGTAGTTTTACAGCTACTGTGATAGGTATTGCTTTGTTTTGAAATTGGCCCCTGAAGAGTGACATTGTATCTTAAAGCTTTGTAATTAGAATACAGAAAATCAAATTTAATCACTGTCAGAGATTACTAATGTTTCCCTGTTATAAAAAAATTGAAATGTTAGGTCCTCTTTATGATATTTTTGAGAAATGTTGCAGGAAATGTTGACTAAAATGGTCTCTCAGTAGAATTTTAATTTAAAAATACATGAAGTAGCATACCCCATTTATGCATAGCTTTTTGTTGTTTCTCCTAATGTCTTCTTAGTGCCTACAATAGTACTCAGTTCATAGTTAATACTTTTAAAACATGCTGTTTGCTAAATGAAGTGCTTGAACTGGAAGAGCCTTTTTATAGTTTTCCCAGAGTAGAGGAGAAAAAAATACTTGAGTTGTTTTAGAAATACAACCAGAAAGTAAATGGTTACTGTATTAGCTGTGGGGGAGGGTAGCTAGGTGGAGTTGGAAAGCTAGAGTGTGACCTTCAGTGTTCTTTCTCAAGAAATGACAGTGGAAGTCAGAGGCAGAATGAAAATCTGTGTGGCAGTATTCTCTGACTAGGATGCTAGATAACTCCAAAGAAACTAATGTTTGTTGAGAAGCTAGCATGCAGTTATGGTGCTCAGTGTTTTGTGGGTGTTGTTTGTAGTAGTTGTAACAATTCTGAGAGGTAGGTAGAATATTCCCAATTTATAGATGAGAGAGAAGTTGGGATTTAGAGGCAGTGACTTCTGATCACATGACTGTTGAACAACAGTTCTGGGAGACATTTGTCCAGCTCCAAAGTTTGTGCTAGTGTCTGGAAGGGAGCTAATGAGAACTGTATTAATTAAACCAATATCCTTTACCATCAATTGTTGTCTTAATCATCACTGGCTAAGTACTTTCTTTGTTCACCTTAGAGGTGGCATTGATCATGCCTAAAGTAGCCTTTCAGATTACACAGATATTTTAGTTTTCTTTGAAGCATATAGAGAGACTGTTTAGACTGTGTAAAGGTCACTGTATTTCAACTACAAGTAAGTAGGCAGAAGAAAATTCTAGTTGGAATGCAAAGAGAAAATTGAATCTCTATTTGTAGTAATGGTTTGATCTGTTACATAAAGGAAAGATGTGCAAATAGAGTGTATGCCTTTACTTTTAGCTTTTCCCACAAAAGGAGCTCTTTTGATTTTCTTTATCTATAAATTGGACCATGTAAGTGGTTCACTTAGACATAGAAATGAAGCTGGTGTTGTAGCTTAGTGTTTAGAGCATGTGGCTAATGTAAGCATAGCATTGCATTTGATTCCCAGAACTCACCCCAGCCCCAACTGGAAATTTTTTTTTTTTTTTTTTAAATTATAGAAGCAGCCTTGTGTGTGTCAGGTTTTTATTCAGTGGCTCAGTCAGTATCCTTGGAGTAGCAGCGGGTGGCTCTACTGTGCTAGATTGGTTTGCTCTGAAAGAAGCTCACTGTATTGTGTTCTTTCTTTCTCCTTTTCTTCCTTTTTCTTGTTTTTTTGTTTTTGTTTTTTTTTTTCTAAATCTTTTCAACTTTGAAAATATAATTTGGTGTAAGGATTTTGTGAAACTGAAGTCAGATAAAATACATTGTGTTTTAAATGAGATGCCTTATCCTAAAATTTTTCTTTGGGCGTAAGCATACAAAACACAGTGTTATTAACTTAAAACTTGTAGTCAACAGTATTTATTATATTAGCCACTTTCCCTATGAAACTAACACATTATGAAACATAAGCTTGAGATTACAGTATATGAACTTATCAGTTTTGTAGGTAGGGGAAAAAAGGTTGAATTCTGACAAGTTCCTGAAGGTCAATCTAATTAATGAACTTGAAATTCCTCATGTAAGACACTTCCTATAAAGCATTAGTTAATGCTGTACTATTCAGGAACGTGTTCAATGATGGAAAACTTTGTAAACTCTTTTGTAAAGTGGAAGGTACTTGAAATGTAAAAGAGTCTTATTTATTTATTTATTTATTTATTTATTTATTTATTTATTTATTTATTGAGTTAGTTATTCGTTTCTGGAGATCAAACCCAAGGCTTATGCATGCTAAGCAAGTACTCAGCCACTAAGCTATATCTTTAGTTCTGAAATTTAAAATAACTTTTTATATTTATTTATGGGGGATGCATATGCCAAGTGTGCATGTGGACACTAGAAGACAACGTGTGGGACTCAGTTCTCCCCTTATGCTGTTGTGGGTCCTGGGGATTAAACGAAGGGCACAAGAGCTTGGTGGCAGGAATCCACTGAATTATCTTGTCAGCCCCAAGATAGGTATTTCATTTGTGGAGCTGGAGGATGAAGTCAGTGTTAGCCAAATGCCTAGCATGTACCCAGGCCCTGGGTCCATCTTCAGGACTGACTGACTGAATGAATAAATTAAAAAAAAAAAAAAAGATGAAAGAAAAAATGAGTACCTTTATGAAAGATCCTGTGGAATTTTTAAATGCTTGGTATTTTCTGTATTTTTTAAAGGTTATATGTAATTTGATTGTGTTTTCAAAGGTTTGTGCTTTCTGGAAATCTGCATGGTGGTTCAGTGGTAGCAAGCTATCCTTTTGATGACTCTCCTGATCATATGACCACTGGAACCTATAGCAAAACTTCCGATGATGAAGTCTTTAGATACTTGGCAAAAGCTTATGCTTCTAACCACCCTATAATGAAAACTGGTGAACCCCACTGTCCAGGAGATGAAGACGAGACATTCAAAGATGGCATCACAAATGGTGCACACTGGTATGATGTGGAAGGTATGCAAAGCACTGAAACTGCTGTATTTCCCTCTATTGGTTTAGCTTTCTTATGTGTACTCTGAATACAAGACAAAACTAGCATTCCAATTTTTAAAAAGGTTACTTCTCTGTATTTTTGAAGTTTCCACAACTATGGTAAAATTGAAAGATGATCACAGAAACATGCATATATCCTTCATTTAAATTCATCCATTGTTTTCTTATCCCATATGCTTTACCTCCCCACCTACATAGGCCCACACATGCAATCTTTTGCCAGACCATCCAAAAATAGGCTGCTGACGAAGCATCTCTAAGTTCCTCAGCACTTGCTTTACTAAGCAGAGACTTTCTTCTGTCATGCACCATTACCATATGAGAAATCAATAGTAACTCAGTACTATAACCACATGTTGCCTGTGGTTCATTTCCCTTTTTGTCCCCAACTATCCTTCTTAGCTCCTTTTTCTCCAAGTCTAGGATCTGGTCAAGGCTCAGCCATTGCATATGATCTTATAAGAAGTCCAGGCTGTGATTAGCAAGATGGCCCAGTGGATAAAGGCTTCTGTCACCAAGTCTAACACCTTAAGTGGAAGGGGAGAACCAGCTTCTGAGAGTTGTTCCCTGACCCCCACCAAATGCATGCACTGTTGTGTGTGTGTAGATAAACATGTGTGCATGTACACACACATACACATACACACACACACACAGGTAATTGTAATGAAAAGAAAAAACTTCTACTTGTTGTCCTATAGAACATGCCAGTTTATATGTTTGTCACTTTCTGTATTATAATTCAACTCCAGTTTCCCAGTAAGATCATTATATAGACCATATCACATGTCAGGAGACATAGAAAGTCATGTTATGTGTCTTAAGTTGTTGGGTTAATACAATTACCACCAATCTCATCTTTTACATAAAGGCACATTTGTTGTTGTGGGGTGGTCATGAAATTCCTGCTTGCTATTTAATAATTATGTGTATGTAATATATATTACATATATACAAATGATAATAATATATGTCAGAATATTTGCCATTTTGGGCTTTTTTCCATGCCCATGCATGTGGGTATGTGTTTTTTTGTTTCTTCTTTCTTCCTTCCTTCCTTCCTTCCTTCCTTCCTTTCTTTCTTTCTTTCTTTTTTTTTTTTTTTTTTTTTTTTTTTTTGTTGTGCTGAAGATCAAATTCCAGGGGCCCATACATCATAAACAAATGCTTTACCATTGAACCCAACCATTCCAGCTTTTGTTGTCGTTGGTTTTGAGTCAGAGTCTCATGTGGCTCAGATTGGCCTTGAGCACTTTTATCATCTTGCCTCCAATCTTTTAAATACCGAGATTACAAGGTTACACCATGGCCAAATTTCTAGGTATAAGACCCCCGTGATAGTAACAACATTCACAATGTCATATAACCATTACTGTCTATTTTCAAAATATTTGCATCACTTCAGACACTCTGTAATGATTAGGTAATAATTCCCATTATTTCTCTTTCCCTAGTTGCTGGAAACTGCTAATCTACTTTCTATCTCTCTGAATTTGTTTATTGTAGATATTTCATATAACTGAAGTCATAAAGTAGAGTGTGCTTCACTTAACATAGTGTTCTCAGGGTCCATCCATCCTGTAGCATGTATCAGAATATTATATTCCTTTATGTAGTTAAATAATATCCCTATCCATATAGAATATATGCATGAACAGATATGTAACAGATTTTGCCTATTCATCCTCCTAATGGCACTGAGTCATTTCTATTTGCTATTGTGAGTAATGCTGTAGTGAACACTATTGTATGCATCCTAGTTTTCAATCTTGGTATATATGGCTAGGGGTGGAATTGCTGTCTCATGTATTCTGTATTTAAGGGACATCAAACTATATTTTCCTAGCCGAAATCTATGAGGGCTTCAATTTTTCATAGAATACTATTTTAACAGAATTATTAAGGTCTGGGTAGATGGCTCAATGGATAAAATGCATGTGTAAAAATGTGAGGACTGGAGTTGAGATCTCTAGAACCCACAAAAACCTGTATGGGCATCGTGATTCATCTGTAACCCCAGAGCTCCAAAGACATAGAGCAGGATACCTGGGTTAGCTATGCTAGTTGAATTTACCAAGTGACCCTGCCTCAGTAAATAGACTGGACAGTGATTAAAAAGGACACCTAATATCAGTCTCTGGTCTCCGCATGTATATGCATGCACACCCACAATCATATGCACCAAATGCTGCCCGTCTGCAAATACATTTATCTACATGGATGTACACCTCCCCCCTCTCTAGAAGTTATTAAAGGAAGCTTGAATTGTTCCCCTTTTAAAAGTCATGAAAGTGGGGAGATGGCTCACCAGGTAATAGTATTTGCTGTTCCTCCAGAGACTTGATTTCTTGTCTCCACATGGAAGCTCACAACTGTCCACAGCTGTCTGTAACTCAAGTTCCAGGGGACTCTATAGTCCTCTTCTAGCCTCCCTGTGCACCTGATACTCACAGTGTGCAGACACACATGCAGGCAAGATACCTATACTCATGAAAAGTAAATATAAAAAATTAAAAGTTATGAGAATAGCTATTATTGTAAAATTTTCAGTATACTTTGAATAGTAAAATACAAACTTAGACTGTTTAATTAAGAATATGTAGAAATGGGTCTAGGAAGATGGCTTGCTAAGTAAGAGCACTTACTATGAAAGCAAGGGGAGTTCAAATCCCCAAGATAAAAGCCCTGCATGGTCATGTGTGCCTGTGACCCAGCCTTGACAGACAGAGGCAGGCAGATTCTAGAAACATAACTGAAAAGATGATCTTCAGGTTCATTGAGAGATCCATTGTGGAGAGTATCATCCTCTCTAGCTCTCATTCATGTACATGCATGTCTACACTATCTCTTCACACATACAGAGGCATATATCACACCTGCACATAAGCAATATTCAGAAAGAAGCTGGGCATGGTGGCATACGTGCAATCCCAGCACTCAGAAGACCAAGGCAGCAGGATTACAAGTCTGAGGCTAGCCTTAGCTACACAGCCAGACTGTCCAAAAAACATCCTCAAACAGTAAGCAGAAGGGACAGTTGAATGTCACTAGAGCCTATGGTGAGATGCTTTGGTGTTCTTTACCTTCCTATTGGCACTCTGATTATAAAGTATCCTGTGCCATATCTAACACACCTTTATTTAAGCCTTTGTTTTGTTTGTTTGTTTTGTTTTTTGTTTGTTTGTTTGTTTTTTGGCTCTCTGAAACTCACCATGTAGAACAGGCTGGCCTCAAATTCAAAGGGATCTACTTGACTCTGACTCCCAAGTGCTGGGATCAAAGATGTGTTCTGCTACTATGGTTGTCTAATTTTTTTTCTTTTACTTTTTATATCCATCTGTATATACAGAAAATGAGGTCTAAGTTTGAGGACTGAATTTCCTGCCCCCCACATAGTTCCTATCCAGATTTTATGTATAACAAACATCCAGAAGAAGATTTGAAATAGTTAGAAGGCAACATTTGCTCTCACTAAAGTTAAATGTGATTTGAAAACCATTGAAACTTTTGATAAGGGGGCATACTTTAATGTGCAATCCTTATATTTAATTCTTTAGTAAATAGATATATTAAAATCTTTGTGAACTAGTCATCTTGTGAGTTGGTTAAGTTACTTTATGAATGAGAGATATTATTTAAGATAATGGGATAAAAGATAATTTACCTTATCTTTTTGGAAAAAAATACCTTTAAAGGTTAAAAAATAATTCCTAATTGACCATTGGTTTAAGAATATACTAAAACATACTGTTTGAAAAAAAAAAAAAAACCATCCTGACTTCAGAGCAAAGAAGTGTACTTTGCTACATAGTCATAGTTTGTTTGATTAAACCAGTGATTAAATTTCTGTTTCTTCCCACATCTCTGAAGAAGCTGAGCTTTGTTAC